CTTAGAACTTATCAAATCTTTTAAGCTGTCGTCGAGGTAACGGAGGTCGAGGAGCGGCGTGGGAGGACGAGAGCTGAGGAAGCGTTGTTCCAGGTCAGCCATAAAAATGTTGGCATATTGTGGGGCCATGCGGGTGCCAATAGCGGTGCCACTGGTCTGGAGGTATATATTGTCACCAAATTTGAAATAATTGTGCATGAGGATAAAGTCATAGAGCTCAGCAGTAAATTGTGCTGTGTCATCATCAGGGATACTGTTCCTGACAGCTTGTATTCCATCTGTGTGGGGGATGTTTGTGTAGCGAGCCTCTACATCCATGGTGGCTAGGATGGTGTTTTCTGGGAGGTCACCAATGCATTGTAGTTTTCTCAGGAAATCTGTGGTGTCACAGAGATAGCTGGGAGTGCTGGTGGCATAGGGTCTGAGTAGGGAGTCCACATATCCAAACAGTCCTTCAGTGAGAGTGCCAATGCCCGAGATGATGGGGTGTCCAGGATTTCCAGGTTTGTGGATCGTAGGTAGTAGACAGAATAACCCCGGTCGGGGCTCTAAGGGTATGTTGATTTGTTCCTGTGTTAGTGTAGGGAGCTACCATGTTTGGAATTTGACTAGGACATTGGCATACCTCTTACTCTGAATGTATGGTTTAGTGGTGAGAGTAAGGATTTTATTAATCAGAATTCCTGCATTCTAGACCCAGTCTTTGTCACTGACTCATTCTATGATTTTCAGCAAATCACTTATTCTTGTTATGCATCTGTTTCCCTATCTGTAAAATGGGCATACTATTAATCTCTCACACAGGGGGCTTGAAATGTATTTGTATAGTACTTTGAGAGCCCAAAATAAAACATGCCTTGTAAACACAAAGTAGTAGTATTTATTACCATTACTTTTGTGAAGAGCTTCCTGGTATCTTTAGTGACTACACTTCGTTAGGACCTTAGTTCTACTTTTTGTTTGAAAGATTATACCTCCAATAGAACAGCCCCCTCCCCCCACCTCCGCCCACCCCCCGTGTTGGTGCACTGGTTCAGGAAAGACTCATCTACTAAATTGCCAAGACACTAAAAGTTTCCCATCCAAGTTCTGACAAGCCCAAGTGTGCTTAGCTTGTGAGATCAGATGAGACAGCAACCCAAGGAAGAGACTGTTCTTGGAAAAAAATAAAAAGTAAACTAAAGCAGTCATTGCTGCTGATTTTTTTAATAATCTAATTACAGCTTTATTTTGTTTAAAATAAATAATTATGTTAGACTATAAATTTTAAGTTTGTAATAAACATTTTTGGTTAAAAGATTTTTCAGAATATTACTCATTATGTTCTTATATTTTGGGGTAAATGTGAATTGAGCTCTCATGTAAGTAGGGGGACTGATATGTTTGGCTCTAACTAATGTTAACAAAAATCAGACGTTGGACAAATTTCCCCCCATACATTTCTACTAGTCTATCATTTCACACCTGCTCAGCTCAGCTATTCCAAAACCAAAGTGGCTCTTGAGTAAGTGCTGCCAATTGTATGTGGGGTTTTTTGTTTTTAAAATAGATGAATATCACGGGGAATATGTTGAAAACAGTAATCTTATTTACACATATCTCTCGGGTGTCAATCGGTTTCCGAATGCGGATTCATTTTTAACTTAACTGAATTTTAAGATATTATATGAATATTCTTTTCTGCGGAAAGAAAGTGATGTCACTCTCTGCAGACTTGCCCACAATTTCAAACAGCCCTTCCAAACCCAGCATAGCTGTTTCTCAGGATAATCAAATAACTTTGGTGATGGGTGTAGTATAGGTAGAAATACCTAGATAAATAGGCAATAGGTCTACTAAAATGGTCAGTAGTGAAAGAGGTAACAATTGGAGCAGTTCACAGCTCTGTTACTTTTTTCCATATGCAGGCACAAGAAGACAATACTACACCCCATTTAGAAGTTTTCTTTACAACCACAAGAGGTAGGAGTGCTAGCGCAATCCTGGCATACAACAACCCTTGTCATGTAAAGCTATAATACAAGGACAGGTTTTTGCATAATTTCAACCACCATTTTAACTGTATCAGCTCCACTACCAAATCCCTAATTACAACATTCCTGATGTAAAATATTGTATTTCAGAGTTATTAGTGTTCTACAGAAAAAAAGATACTTACTATTCTGCTCCTCACCAAGGGCAACCAATGTTTCAAGGACTTTAATTCCTTCCTGGACTGCTAATAGCTCTGTGTTGCTGATTAGACGGTTACCTTCTACAGCTTTCAGTTTCTCAACCATTATTGGTGCCAATGAATGGATGTATGGAGTTGACAGGGCACGGTTGGTGTGTTGGAATACAGAAAGTAGCAGCTGATAACACTTGGCTTGAACCTAATCAAGATAAATGCAAATCAGATAACTGCATCCCTGAATTGCACACTCAAAATGTGTTTTGTACAAGTAAGTAATATAAACACAAATTTTGTACATACATAAGTAGGAGAATCACTGCAAATTTGGGCCCTAATCTTTATCTATGGAAACAGGAGTAGCATTATGAGAAAGTAATATTAAAATAAACCAGAGAAGGTCTAGATTTTTTTGGCCCAGTGGTCTTTTCCTTCCTAAAATTTCTTACATTAACAAAGATGTAACTTTTATAAATCTATATAAATCAAGAATTTGGCACAAGTAACTTGAAAATTGTACTGCAAAAGTGCCACGTTTTGTTATAATTGCCATTGATGCAATAGTTGTGATGGTTAATTTGTTAATTTGACAAGCAGGATCTGGTTACTTTTTGAAGTGAAGAAATTATAGATTTCAGGGAATTCAGAAAATGTAACGTTATTCCTTGTTACTTTGTGTCAAGCATTTAAAATATTGTGCACACTCCCACATGATGAGCTTACCCAAGGATCACAGGAATTCAATGCATTTTTAAATCTGTTAATGCAGCCATTCTGTAAGGACTGCACTCCAATTATTTCTGTACTTGCAGACCAAAGGAAGAGTGCAATCGCTGTAAGCATGCTTACTTCATCAAGAATAGACTTAGTACCCTCTGAAAAACAAAAAGAAAAGCAGGCTGAGCTTATTGTGAAAAGGTTTTGGAGTTTGTACTAGTGTACTAGAATAATTCACAACAAAGAGATGTACCAGAAAAGACTTCAATTACACTCAAATACGTGCCTATTCACCACCACCAGTCACAAATTTTTACTATTAGTGGTAGTGACTGATATAGTTGAGGTTGTTTAAAAGAGAGGATAGGACTAGAGTTAATGATCTTAAACTGCTTAAAACTTCCTGAAATTTCCACCTATGCAGCCAAAATTATTCATGCTTGGTCTCTGACCACAGGTATATTTTTATTGTTTTTAAAGTTTAAGCAAATACAAATATGCTATTTTTGAGCAGAAAGATGGTGGGGGAAAAAACATTATACTGTCCCCATTATACCCAAGTCTCTTGCAAACCCTTTCAAAACAGCCTCTGCAGCTGAAATGGCTGGAATGTAGAAACCTAAAATCTAGATTGGGAGTAGCCTGCACTAAGGAGAAGGGTTCTTTAGTGTTCTGCTGAAAATTAGTTACGATTTGACTGTGTTAATAAGCCTGTTAAAAGCACACCGTCCATTTTACTAAACTGGTGAAGTGTGCAACTTCATTCTGTCCTGAAAAGTGAACTGAAGGCATGCAAACCTTGCCTCAGTGCATGCACCTTGCAAGGAGTTAAATGAAGTCTCCTAAAGTCCACAGAAGGTCTACAATAAGTGCCAGTGGTGCTTGTGGAAGTGGCCCATGAGCCAAGGTGAAGTTGGGAGAGATAAGTTTGATGAGACATATAACTAAAGAGGCCACTGAAAATTAATATGGGTTTGGCCTGGAAACCTTAATCCAATGATTGTTTCCTCTCAAAGATCTGAAAGGAGGGCATTGTGTAATTATTCTCTTGGCCCTTCAGATTTCACATGACCACTTCTGCCAAACTCTCCCCCCACCCTCCTGTTCAATCTATATTTCAGGCTATTTGGGGGTGTAGTGAGATGGTTTTGGCAGAGATACTCTCGGTAGGTAAATGACATGCATCTCTGGATCTCTCTTTTGGGTCAGACAACATGGATTGTACCGCCTCTTTGTTCTTCTAGGGCAGAGAAGACGCTTGGATTAGAGGAAGCTGATTGAAGTCAGTGCAGACAAGATGGTGATGCTGCTGGTAGGCCAGGAGAAGCATCTAGGGGTTGTGGCAGCGGTATGGTTTTTCCCATTACTGAAAGGTCACTCAGTCCTTTGTCAAGGAGATTTACAATCTGGAGATGCTTTTGGGTTCTCACTTCTCTCTGATTCCCTGGTGATATCAGTGGCTAGTCTTTTACCCCTCTGTATTATGCTAGACTATATTGTGATTAATTCTCTGATGTGAATTTGCCACAGTCATCCATGCCTTTACTACCTTCACACTGAATTACTGTAGCGCTCACTATGATGATGACTATATGAAGCCTATTATACCGATTCTCTTAAAGCATCACTGGCTTCCAGTTTCCTTGAACAACAATTCCAGGTATTGAGTTTGATCTACTGCATACAGCTCGATACAATTATGGCTCTGACTACCTGAGACACTGGCTCTCTCCCTATGCGCCATTTTGATCGCTGAGATCTGATTCTCTCTGGGCAGGCAGATATTTTGGGGTAAAAGGAAAAGAGGGGCATAATCAAAGAGGATTCCTAGTTTATGGGCGTGGGTGACATGGGGGAGGATGGATTGTCAACAGTAACAGAAAGTGAGGAAGAGTTTGGGAAGGAAGACAAGGAGTTAAGCTGGTTGTGAGACGTCCAGGAGTTTTCAGAGAGACAGGCTGAGATGCAGGATTGGCAGAAGAGAGACAGGTCAGGAATGGAGAGGTAAATTTGTGAGTCAAAGGTACAGAGATGGTAACTGAAGCTGTGTGAGTTGATGAGGTTACCTAAAGAAAATGCACAGAAACAGAAGGTAAGTGTGCTAAGCCCCATGAGAGACCTATGGAAACAGGAGAAGGGTGGGAGGCCTGCTGAAAAAGACACTGAGGAAATGAGTGGAGAGGTAGAAGAGAACTGATTTGTAAAAGCCAAGTAAGGACAAGATTTCAAGAAAGAGAGTATGATCAATATTGCCAAAGACAGCTGAGAGGTCAAGAAGGATGAAGATGAAGTGTGCTGCCCTGAGATGAGGCTGTATTATTCTAAAATCGGCATTGTATTCAGCATTACATACACAGTTCACTATAATGCAGAGAGTTAGGCAGGCTTGTGTTAGCACTTAGATCTTCTCTCGGTTTTACAAGCTATGCTATGTTAATCACAGCTTTTCGTCCCCATAATCCTAACCTGATATGTAGCCTATATTATATTATATACAAACACGTAACATTCACTTCTCCATAACAGAAGCTTTAGCTTTAAGATGCTCAACTGGTTGAGACTAAACTGCTTACCTGGTTGGGAGTATTCCAAGACAGATGCCAGTGTGCTGCGGATAAGACTGGTCCATTGCTTATGGGTTTCCTCAGTCTTGGCCATTGGAAGAGTTACAATAGTTTTTATCGCCTGAAGAGTTGCACTGACTGGTGGTGAGACCTGATTATCCACTGATTTTACTGCAGTTTCCTTCAATACTCTTGTAATCAGAAACAGGATTGTAGGTAATATTGTCATACATCCTGAAATAAAAAATAAAGTGCATTCTTGCCTTTAATTCTAACACCAGGTATGGTCCACAACTTCTTTATATTTCCTTAGTGGAAAATCTCTTGCTAGCAATAGATATACCAAAATGTACTATAATTTATTTATGTGGTGGTAAATATAATTCAATAATATTTTAACAATTAAGAAACATCTTATTATAGTCCAAATATATTATATGACAATTTACTTCATTTGGAGTCATTTGTGCTAATGTAGTTAAAAAGCTGTCAGCAATTCAGGGATTTATAACTCAGCCATTAAAAATCTGCTCTAGGTTGACAAGGAATGATTTTTAAAAATCCATTAAAGAGAGAAAGGATAGTCCAGTGGTTAGGGTACTAGTCTGGGACTGGAGAGATGCAGGTTCAATTCTTTCCTCTGCCCAGACTTCCTGTATAAGCTTGGGCAAGTTACCTAGCCTTTTTTATGCCGCAGTTTCCCATCTGTGAAATGGGGATAATAATACTTCCCTACTTCACAAGGGATAAATACAGTAAAGACTGTGAGATGCTCAGATATTATGGTAATGGGGGGGGGCCACAAAGCACCAAAAAAAGATAAATAACTGATTCTTCCCCGATTAGGGCTTCTTTTGCATCCAATTGGAGCTAAAAAGAGCCCATACACGTAGAATTTGTACTTATCCTTCCCCCAGCTCATACTTAAAGCCATGAGTCTGGGCAGATAGCTTTCTGGCTGAGAAAACCTGGCCAAAATTCCTTGTAGCGGCCATCAATATAATTCCTTAACTGGTCTGAAAGGTCACTACTGAATGCTCCTTCTCAAACACTCCTTTACTCAGTCATCCCTGAAAGCAAGAAAAAATGGGACCAAGAATCAAATCATAGGTTCCTGTATGGCAGCAGTGCAAGACTCTGGGCTAGCTTATAGAAATTTTTTATTTTTAACTAAACATTTGCCATCCATTAATCACTAATTTGGACTACAGGCCAAGTATTTTTCAGAAATTATTTTTTCTACAATTGTTATTAACTTTGCACCTCACTAAGGACTCAGCCTCAAGAAGTGCTAAACATCTGCAATGTCAATGTAATTTCTTGCAGATGTGAGAGAGGCCTCTGCTGTATTAGAACGAACAGGGCATACAGTGCAAATTTTGATGTTGCGCGTTTCCTGATGTCCTGTGACCTGACAAGCGGGCACCCTTAAATTGCTCTAGAATCTAAACCTCACCATCAATAAATTAGCTTCACTTAAAGTGGTCTGCAACGGAGGTAACATTTTTAGTTACTACTGTGTCATTTGGTCATTTCAAATGACTGGATTTGTCTTATATTTCTCATAAAACCCATTCATTTATGCATATGAAGTTATAGTAGAGTACCGGCTGGAGAGCACAGAGAAGGCAGGTCAGATAGGATAGTAACTGTGGCAGCCACAAGGCGAGCACTTTCTTCAGAGAGCTGGGGTTTGGCAGAAACATGACTTGGAGAGTCTGACATTTTGGGGCTTAGATGTGGCATGTGCCGTACTAGGATAAACATTAGTAGTTCCATGGCTGCAAAGACGAGAGATTTTCCAGGCACAAGGCCACCACTCTCACCACCTTCTCCTAACACAAGACACGTTTCTTTTTCCTTTATGTCGTCTTCATCTGCAGTGAAAGACAATTGGTTAAATAGTAAAAAACCCAAATAAATATTAGATAAAATACACTGAAAGGTAGATAATACTTTGAGAAGAGCTAGAGGTTCACATTAATGTATAATGTCAGACAGATCACACAGGTTAAGAAAAATACTACTTTTAAAGTTAAAATGTGCTGAAGGAGTTTTAAATTGCCTTAAAGGTTTTGTGATAGTAACAATTGACTTTAAAATTCCATAACAAGCCCAGAAATTGATAACATTTAATAATTACAATGTCTGAAAACAGTTGCTGTGTTTCATACTTCTTAAAAAACTCATGTGGTAAAATTATCATCAAAAGATACCAACTTCTGCATGTTGCCAGGCACAATGTCGTGTGAATTGTTTTTTTTCTTTATCTTAGTTATAAACAAATAAGATTTTTGTAGAAAAAATATTAAAGTGCTATTCCAATCTGAAATGTGACTCTAAAAATAGTATTGTGGGATTCTGTGTACTGTCTTTATGATGTTAGTATCAAATGTGCTCAGTTTATAAGATTTTCTTCTGAGTGGCAGACTTACAAGCTATGTTCTCTCCTTTGCCATTGTCAGTACTAAAGTCTAGTAATTATGCCCTCAATACCCCTATGCAACTCCACTGAAATCAAATGATGCTTTAGTGAACACATGTGCTGTCCCATTGCCTGCATGGGTTTGGAAAGACGTAACTTATTGGGTTTTAATAAACAATTCTATCGATGCAGAAAAAGGAATAAAATGCATTCCACTCTCTCTTAGCTGTGTTGGTTCTTTCTACAGCACTAATGGAAGTAAAAAGCAGTAAGCCCTTGCCCTGCCCCACAATCACCCCAATAAAAGGTGTCAGTGAAGATAACTGAGGGTATAACTATGAATACATTGAACAGATCTGTGGGAGAAGTAGGAGCCATTTTTACCTAGTCAGTTTTCAGAGAAGAACCACACTTTAATAAATCTGAGTTCTTCTCCCAATTAGGAAATTTGTTGCTTTTTTCCTCTGTAAATGCAAACAACAGTTTTAAATTTGTTTGTTTTTAAACTCTTACTTAGAGTGTTCCTTTTTTCTTGCAAGTAATCTTGAGCTGCTCTCACTATCTGCTGGACAACTCCTGTAACTAGCAGCTGGACTGAAGGAGGATCCCAGGTCAGTAAGAGTCGATGCAGCACACTCAGAAGTTCAACACCAAGGAGCTAGAATAAATGAAAGTTTTTTTTTAATTTAAATTAAAAGTAAATGGTTCACAGACCCCTAATTATCAGCAAAAATGGTTTCTGGTTAATTTACTGTTATTCTTAGCCATAGAATATTTTTTTCTCAGTTTTAAAAAGCACAGTTCCTTTGGTACACACTAATTGTGTTTTTCAGTTCACTTCTGAGACAATCATTTTTGCATATGCCCCACCCTTTATCCTGTTATATCACTTATTTACTCTAAGGGAGTGTTTTTCACTCACCATAACCTGGGATTTTTTAAAGAACAAAAATGGTTAAATCTAATCACAAGAGCATTCAAACTGTGGTTTAGGAGGTTTACACACTTGAGAAACACAAAGGATTGCTAGTAGGATTGTTCTCTCATTTCTGTTTTAATGGTAAGATTTAAAAGGAGAAAATTTTTTAAAAATGGGCAAGTGTGCTGATAAACAAGCCTAATGGTATTAAATGGATGTATTGGTTGAGTTTGGCAATTTACTGTCTTTTTAAAAAAAAAATTTTTTTCACCTCAACTGCTTGAAAACTAATGTTAAAGTCTGCTGGGGGATATGGAGATCTGATGCTGAAGGGAAAGCCTCCCACGGCCAAAGTAACCAACCACACACAAAAGGTGACAATGATATAATTTTGCCAGATTTATCCAGTAAGTAGTGTATTTCCCCCACAAAATAATAAATAAATTAAAGCCCTCGTAAACACCATAAAGCTGCTAAAGGATGAAGACCCATGAAAACAAACTGTCTGAATACATCTGGGACATGGTTGTGATACTATGAGAGAAGTGGCATTAGGCCCACTGAGCTTATGTGAACTGAAACATCTTCTGAATGGTTGACCATGGCTTTTATGCCACTTACTCAAGAGCAGGGGAGGGGATAACACATAATTGTTCACCCTCAACTCTGTGAGTAGCAAAAATCGAAGTAATTGTAAATAAAAAACAGAAAGAGTACTTGGTCTGCAGTGTTACTACAGGACTTCCATAGTACTTTCCTTATAAAGCTTTCTGCTCTACAAAAGTGTACAGTCTCTGTCAGAGATAATCATAAGATAGATCATCTGCTGTGATTTATCAGGCATTAAGGAAAAGAAAATGGGGTGATAAGTCGACTGCCATGATCTTCAGATTTACTGAATTGCTATTAAAAATTAAACATGAGCCACCAATTAAAATGGAAAAACTTTTTGCAGATCCCACTTATTCCTACACCAAATCATCATGGCAAATTGAATAGATCTCCTAACCTCCAAGATATAGCAATATATTTCTGCTATGTTTATAACGTTTTCCTTCTTGGATTTAGAATTCATATCTCTCCCTAGGAGAATCTAGTATGTTAGATATTGAACATAATGAGTGAAGAATATTTCCAGTAGAGCTGCTCACAATTTTTTGACTGCTATTATTTTTCATTGAAATCTGTTCTTCATTCAAAAATGGAACTTTTGAAAAAACATTTCTAAACTGCCTACTTTTGGAAATTTAAGAAAAAAAAATTTAAATGAAAAAAATGTAGCACATTTTGTATTTTGCAAAACGTTGGAGCTTTTCTGTTATTGTTGTTTTCTATTTGCAACTTTAATAGGTCAGTTTTAAAAAAAATCATTGCTGAAAATTTAAGGTAATAACCAATTTTTTTTACATCTACAGAAAAAGAAAAAATTGGATCATTATGATAAACAACAAAAACACTTTGAATTTGCCTATTTCAGTAATGTGTTTTCCCCCTAGTTTTGGGCCAGCTCTAATTTTCAGGGATGCGGAAGTAAACAGAATACAGATTAATCACTGAACATTTACACACACACACACACGCATCTAAAAACAGAATAAGCCACTAAGATTCCAACATCAGTAACATATTATTAGGCCTATGTACTGTACCTGATCCTCTGCAATATGAATTCTAGCACAAGGGGAATCCAGTAAAGTATGCAGTGCCTGTAAACAAGACGTGACATGTTCAACAGGCTCCTCAGGCCTGGGGGAACAGAGGAATTGTATACTAACACCTGAAAAGAAACACACAAAATCTCATTTCTATACCAATATGATGAGGGTTGTTTTATAACATATTTAAGTATTTAAATGATGCAGAAATTGGGTTTGTTTGAGGGTTTTTTAAAACACAAAAGTTATACTCATGTTTTATTTTTGCCACTGAGAGATATTCTTTGTGTTAAAAATGTCAAACCAGTCAGTCACTTTTTTCCAGTAAAACCAAGATTGAGACAGTAAATAGTAAATCATGGTCACTAACCTATAGATCTTGAAAGGAAACTAATTTTTGTCATTTGCTTTTGCAAATCTATACATTAAAATCTGCCACTTTTAACTCTTTTTCAGTTTCTTTATACTACAATATTTTAACTGGAAAAAATAAACTGCAATAGAAGAGATTTTATTTTCGAGTATGACCTAGATATACAACACAATTCTTCAACAAACATTTGTATTATTATTACAAATGTTTAAAATTCAAATACTCCAATTACAGTACTTTCACATGCAATCTCTATAAAGAACTGCCACTATTTAAAGAAAGAAAAAACAACATTTATCTTTTAACAAATAATATGTCTCTGAGTTTATTGTACAAAAGTCTCAGAATTAATTATACGACTGTCAGTGCAACACTGTTTTACTAGTTATTTGTATAGCATGGATCAAAAACTACTGAAAGATATACACAGATAAACATAGAGCAGGGGTTCTCAAACTGGGGGTCGGGACCCTCAGGGGGTTGCGAGGTTATTACATGGGGTGTCACAAGCTGCCAGCCTCCACCCCAAACCCCGCTTTGCCTCCAGCATTTAGAATAGTATTAAAAAGTGTTTTTAATTTATAAGGGGGGGGGGTCACACTAAGAGGCTTGCTATGTGAAAGGGGTCACGAGTAAAAAAGTTTGAGAGCCACTGACAGAGTGTACTGCATGGGCATATATTCCAATTCTACAAATCTATACACCTAGACATTTCCATAGCCCCCATCACTATAGTACCTGAATGCCTCAATTACTAATGGATGCTTTCCTTACAACACCCCTGTGAAGTAGGAAGTATAGTACGATCCCCAATTCCACACATGACGAACTGAGGCACAGCATAGACCAAGTGACCTGGCCAATGTCACACAGGTCTTTACTGAATTATGATCTGATCAGGAGGTATAATCAGGAGTGCTGGAACAATTTTTAGGGGGGAGGAGGCTGCTGAGAGCCACTGAATCAAACTGTAAACCCTGTATATGGTGGAAACCACTTCAAGCCAGGGGCTGCAGCATAATCTAGCTCATGATTCTAAAATTATAGAAAGAACACATGTCTAGAGAACATAATTTGTATCATCTGAACTGTAATAAATACACGATATGTAGATATCTAATGACTTATTTTTAAACATAATGTAAAAATCAGATATAAAACTAATCTGGAAGATTTCATTAAAAGGACATGGAGCAGTGTTTTTCACAGCTATAAAAATCATTTTGGAGAGATGGGTTGCCAGGCTGTAAGTGTTGGGATGGACATATGGTCCATTTTAAACTGGCTAGATTTCAAGATGATGGTGTCCTTTTAATGCAACCACACTGTGGTATTAAACTTTGAAATATGATATCATAAAGCTCTTACCTAAAATCAAGTGCATTCTATCTTTGTTTATCTCTGGCAAAGATTTAGTGGTAGGTGGTGTTCCAGGTGCCTGGTTTAACATGATGGACGACGCACGTTTCTGTGAATTAGGCATTGCTGCAGCTGCTTCTTCTGGTGACTCAGAAGCATTAAATCCTGCACTGTTTAGCCAGAGTGCCACTGCATGTAGGATTGGAGCCCAAGAGTTCCGGTAGTGCAGTCTAGCTGTATCAATTGTCTCTGGAGTGTAAAATGCTCCACCTGTTAAATTAGCATACAAAGTACATGTGTGTGTGAGAGGGCGTATATTGTAAGTATACATTTATAGGGTACATTTACTGATGTAGATATTCAAATTTGATCATTGTTACTGCTACCTGCAGCACAATTCTCCATGTCAACAGGACTAGCAGGCATCTGTATCATTATGGCTGTCCCCATACCACTTCCTGTTCTTTGATATATTTTTTGCTAGTAGATGATAAAGTGAGACTAAATTTCCTCCCTGTCCTAACTTTTTTCTATGCTGCATAGGACTGAGGGAAATCCACAAAGACCCCAGAAACTGACAAAAAGAAAGACAAAGGACCAGGAGGATACAATGCAATCCAAGAAATATCAGCAAAACAAAAGAAATATTAGCCACCCTAGAAACCTTAGCCATAAAAAGCCAAGTACTGGCTCTATATCTGAGTCTCTCTTTTCCTTATTTAAGAAAAAAAAGGAAAGATTTCTTAATTATGTCCCAATTACAAACAACAGCTTAAAAACAAACACCTAAACGTTTGAAAAATCTGTTACATTCGTCATATAAACTCTCATTAATTTATAATTAATTTGCAAAGTTATTAAAATCCAACTAAATCTTTTCAATGGAACCTTAACCTGGTTCAGCTGTTTAAAATGTTATAGTACACTGTAGTTCTATGGATATATTACAGCCTTCCATGGATTAAAATACAACACTTTATTGATTTCCTCACCAGTGGCCCCAAGCTTTCTTACATTTGAACCAGTGTTGCATGTATATATCAGTATTTTTCTGAGTTGGACTGTGAGCTTTTCAAAGCAGGGACCTTGTTTCTTCATGTGTTCGGTAAAATACAATATATGCCACTCATAGTCTAAAAGACCCTCAATCCTGCAAACCTGCCTATGCTTAACTTTAAGCACAAGTTGTCCCATTGACTTCAATTAATTTACTCACATCTGTAAAGTTAAATGCATGCAAGTGTTTGCAGGACTGGGGTATGTCTACTATTATTAAAATAATCAGAATGTGATCATTTATATTATTGTTGATGCATGTATTATAATCTATTATTCAGTTCTCAGACATTGTTTACTAATGTATTCTCATCTATTTTAATTCTCAGTCATTAATATTTTCAGTGTATTTTTATGTTTTTATTATTCTAAAGTACGAATTTAGGCTAAAATTTCAAAACATGTTTGACTACCTTTAGGCAGCTAAATCCATGTCTAGTCATCTAAAATAAAACTGCCTGGTTTTCAGAAATGCTGAGCATTCACAACTCCCACAAGTCTATGAAAGCTACAAATACTCAGTACCTTTGAAAAATCAGAAAACTTTATTTTAGATAACCCTAGACATGGACTTAGGTAATCCTGGAAATGACTAATCGTGTTTCAAAAATGTGTACTTTATATTTGATATAAACTATAATCAGAGAAAAGGATAGTGTAAATTATAAGTTATGGGGAGACTTTGGGAATTAAATATATTTCAAAGACTTGTTTCATTCAATTTAGAGTGAGCAATTTTAGAATGAATTATACTTAGAAAATCTTTGTGTATTTTACTGTTGCTATAGTGCTCTGTGGAAATAAGAATTGCAATGAATGCTAACAAAACTTGATCTGTGTCACTGAAATGCCAGAGAAAACTATGACTAAGTTTGAAATTCAAGTTAAATATGTTGGATTTGTTTCTGAACAGAATGTAGAAACTTCACTTGATTTTCTTTGGGCATGATCCTGCACTCATTCAAGTCAATGTCAAAGTTCCCATTAGCAACAATGGTGAAGTTTCAGAACTTTAGTGAAAATGCAATGTTATGATTGAGATATAGTTTTATGAGTTAGTTAATCACTAATTTTACATTATTTCATCCCATTTATAGAACAGTTATTATAGGTAGTAGATATTTTAACATTTGTTCTACTCCAGTCACTTCAAAGACTGAACACGGCACCTAACACAATCTGACTCTAGAGACAAAGTGATATGAAATATAGCACCAAAAGACATTCTCAATTGCTGTACATTTTTCTAAAGTAACTTTTCTGAAAAAACAGAGGCATAAATGAAATAAAAGATGTTTGGGATGACATACAAAACTCAGTTGTCGTTTCACCACCCAGCAGTAATAGGTCATCTCAAATGCACGCTCATGAAACTTTATACCACCACACAAAACATTTACTTCAGCCTTAGGATTTCTGTCTATACATAATGAAAAAGGTATACATCCAAGTGTTAAAGTTATGTTAGAGTTTCTGTAAATGCAAAACTAATTTGGGAAGCAAGTAATTTATAGAAGAAATTCAAAATTCCTCCAACAATTCCTTACCAAGATGTTCATTTTGTCTTTCATAATCATAAAAAAAATGAATTGCTGTGCTTACCATCTGGTGGAAGCTGACTAGCAAATTCAGCTGGTAAAGTCAAAAGAGCATAGTCTTTCAACGCAGCTAGCCAAAGGCGACTCAGAATAGGCAGTTCAGGTTGTACAAGTGTTATCAAACTGTCTGGAGGTAGCTCATCTACAGTACCAAAATCCTCCTCCTCATCATCTGTATTCTTTATTGCTCGCTTTGGTTTGGTCTCTGCTTCCTTTTTAATTTTCATAGCTACAACATATACCTATAAAAACAGATACAAAATTTTTGCTTTAAAATTCTAAAAAGAAAAAGAAAAAAGCCTTCTTTCAATAAAATGACAAATTGCACTTGTAAATGACCTTTATTTTAGCTGTTATGGAATATCATGAAAAGTTTTACATTTTTTGACAATCTGAAAATACTGCAAAAATACTGCAAAATATCATACTGGAAGATTTTATGCTATGCAATAGATGGAAATAAAGATAGGAAAAATGAAAAAGCTATTAGGTTTTATCAGTCTATATTTCCAAGTTAAATCTGAGTTTGTTGCTAACATTCACAGCACAGTAGCCAATCTGGCTACTAACACTTTAACCTGAAGAGTGCCAGTTAGGGCTCTTCTCACAGAAAATGCACCAATTTAACTAAATTAAATCTATTTAGGAATCAGTTTAGTTACATCAGTGCAACTCACTTGTGGGTTTACTCTTAAATCAGTGTAGGAAGGAATAAAATCAGTTTAGTTTCATTCAGGTCACTTTCTGTGTGTAGCTCAGGCCTTGTGAATAAGTGTTCTTTTTTTTTTGATTGTGTAGTGTTCTTTAAAGGGTCTGTAAATTGGTATCTGTGGTACCCAACATGGAGAGGCTGAGGGAAAATTTTAAAGCACTTACACAAGGACACATTTACGCAAATAAGGAGAAAAATTGGGGGGAAAGATTTGCAATAGGAACAAAAAGCAGTGTTTTTAGAAAAGAAATATAGCAGACATAAATGTCCCCACACAACAGATGCTTTGCTTCAGATGAAAGCTGAAAATAGCTTAACACTACAGAGCTGAAGTGCTAATACTTTCCTTATTTTCTCAAAATAACTTCCAAGGAAATTAAATGCAAGAGAACTACAGTATGTTAATGCAATAGAGAAAACAAAGACCTGCTTGTGCTCAGCTTCTTCAAAACACTATTCACTACTTCTATTCAGTAAAGTAACACTTTATAAAACAATGCACAATGGCATGTATAGCAAAGTTCACACAAAGCAGACACTTTAATCAGTACTTTTATTTTTGCATTATAAAATGTATAGTGCAAATGGTTTCAGAAAAGCTTTAGAAAGACCTGGACCAATCTGTGTTCCATTTGGCACACCATATTCAGGGTCCTCTGTAATAGCTTTCACATCACACATGCTCATTAAATACACCCACATTTAAAAGGTTATTCACAATACAGTAGTTCCAGCCAACAAAAAGAGCATCATCACCATTAAAAATACAGATAAAAATGTTAAATTAAACCCGAACATTTTTATAACAATATTTCATCATTTAGACTGTCTTGCAGCACAGTATTTAAAATTTTAAGAATATTTTCTGTCCAATAATTTCTTATGCTCACTATCTCATCTGACTCCTATATTAATTTTTGGCCTGATTTTCAGAGTTACTAGACTCCCTCTGCTCTTATCAACTTCAGTCATAGCTGTGGGAACTCAGCCCTTCTGAAAATGAAGCCATTTTTCTACAACTTCATCAAACTATTCACACTGCTAGAATGACAGTTCATAATGCTTAGCCAAACATTCAGATAGTTTCTCTTTCAAGTCCCTTCTAATTTAACCCATATGGACATCCTAATTAATTACCATACACAATGTTATTTGTGAAATCCATAATTTTTAGATACTTGTATGTTCCTTGGTATCTTACATTCCCAAATAATGACTTCAGTAGCCCCGTAGTTTATTATTCCCTGTTTGGGGAATTCCTGGCAAATTAGTAGGGCCCTACCAAATTCACGTTCCATTTTGGTCAATTTTATGGTCATCGGATTTTAAAAATCATAAATTTCATGATTTCAGCTATTTAAATCTGAAATTTCCCGCTATTGTGATTGTAAAGGTCCTGACCCAAAAAGGAGTTGTGGGGTGGTCACAAGGTTACTGCAGAGGGGGTTGCAGTACTGCTACCCTTACTTCTGTGCTGCTGCTGGTGGCAGCGCTGCCTTCAAAGTTGGGCAGCTGGAGAGTGGCAGCTGCTGGCCAGGATCCCAGCTCTGAAGGAAGCCCTGCTGCCAGCAGCAGTGCAGAAGTGAGGATGGCGTGGTATTGTATTGTCACCCTTACTTCTGCACTGCTGCCCGCAGAGCTGGGCTCTTAGTCAGCAGCCGCCACTCTCCGCCCGCCCAGCTCTGAAAGCAGCAGCACAGAAGTAAGTGTGGCATGGTCAGGGCCGGTGCTACCATTTAGGACAATTAGGTGGTTGCCTAGGGCGCTAAGATTTGGGGGCGCCAAAAAGCGGCGCCCCCATTTTTTTTTTACAGCGGCCATTGCGCTGGGAGGGAGAGGGAATCTGAGCCGCCGGCAGGCAGCCCGGGGGGTTGCCGCAGGGGGGGGTGCTTCAGGGCGTGGGGGGGAGCTGCCGCGACAGCTCCCCGGACTGGGGGGGGGGCCTCAGAGCGGGGGGGAGCTGCCGCGGGGGGGGGGGCCTCGAAGGTGGAGGGGGGGTGGGGAGCTGCCGCAGGGCTGGGGGCGCAAGGTGGAAGTTTAGCCTAGGGCGCGAAATTTCCTTGCACCAGGACTGGGCATGGTATGGTACTGCCTCTCTTACTTCTGGACTGCTGCTGGCGGGGCGCTACCTTCAGAGCTGGGTGCCTGGCCAACAGCTGCCGCTCAGCTCTGAAGACAGAACAGAAGTAAGGGTGGCCATACCACGACCCCCCCTAAAATAACCTTGCAACCCCCCCTGCAACTCCCTTTTGGGTCACGACCCCCAGTTTGAGAAATGCCGGTCTCCCCCATGAAATCTGTATAGTATAGGGTAAAAGCACACAAAAGGCCAGATTTCACAGGGGTGAGGGGGGGGGACCAGATTTCACAGATTTGATGCTTTTTTCATGGCCTTGAATTTGGTAGGGCCCTACTAATTAGCTATGCTTTGATTTAACCAGCTCATCCTTGAATTTTAACAGGCAAGGGCATGGGAAGGAAATTAACATTTGACAGAGTCTAGAAATTCTGGAGTGTGCACAATGGGTGGGATGGAGGAAAGGTGGAGCTGTGGGGCAGTCGTGGGGAGGAGAGAGAATAGAAGCAATGTGACAAATGTGGACAAGTTAGATAGAGAGAAGATGAAGCACTCCAGAGACAGACATGGAGAACCAAAAGCCTGGAGAGGGTGGGAGGAAGTCAGAGTAGCTGGAAAAGATAGAAGGTTTGGGGCTGGCTGGCCGGCCAGCTGGCTAAAAGGATGAGACGTTGCAGCTATGCTACAGTAACTAATCTGAGGTATAAGGTAAATATTAATGCTGAATGTTTACCTCAGCCCAGGCTTTCAGGACTGCCAGTTTTTCCATAGTCGTGGCACTCTCTCGGTAAAGCTGACTGGAAGACCCCTTTTTTCCCGCTTGCACTTTGTCCAGGGAGGAGACAAGGAGATTGTGAACTCGGCGAAGATCATTCAGGTCACTTACAACCTCACTTCCTATCCATGTGCTACATACCTAAGCAAGAACATTTAAAATCATTCTCAAAGGGTTTTTTGGAAGAAATCATGCACAATGATACCTGCTCAAGCAAGAACAGATTTTTATGCCAGGTTAAAATCTTTCTGTAACATATCCTAATAGCCCCCTTTGACAAACAACAGCCTAGCTAAGTTTTTCCTTTTCATGATACTCTAGACCGGCTTAAGTCAGTAGTTACGAGCATAAGATGATGTTTGCAGAGCTCATGGCATCTGCAATTTATAATGTAGATACCTGTAAAGTATGCCATGCAATATTATGCAGAGATGTTTGTGTTTATTTATGAACCACAGTAACTAGTAGAAACAATAACATTTTTACTCTGTTTTTGAGTATGTCAGCCTAATCATGCAAAATACAATTTTTTTCATTACATTTGTTTTGAATTGTGTACTGGATACTAGCCCTTTTAAAAGTAACCTATAAACAACTTTTTTTTTTAATCTAGCAATTGTAAAATTACATACTAAATGTCCCCAAAAAATCACCAGAATAAGAGGGGCTTTAAAGCACACTAACAACTTCTTTCCTGTTTCAAGTTACTTTTTAAAAAGGGTCCATTTATCCATATGTTACCATGTCTGTTAAAAGTTTTTTTCCCAAAACCATGTCCTAAAAAAGTCAATAAAACATTTTTTGGAACTATGAGTGGGTTGTTTTTTTTTAATTAAACAGATCCTTAAGATTCAGACATCATGTAGACCACCTGTTCAGCACTATACCCCAGCAATCATCCTCTTAAATACAATCACACCCTCGAAGCTGTAACACCACAGAAGGGAGCCAATTTATAGGGGTTCCGTAAAGTTAAAGATTTCCAGTGGGGATAATGTCTGTGACAGGCCTTATTACAATTATTAGCTTTGTCTAAACTAAGCTGAATAATGCACCTTCCCCCAACTCCTTTCCTGGAGAGAAGAACTGTGAACTGGGGGTATTTTCCAGTATTCCTGCATACTGATAATGTGTCTCCCATGGGAGACACATTATCTCTTTATGACACCCAATGCCACCTTTCCCATTTTTCCCCAATGGGAAAGCAGTTTTCCCTCACCTTTATTACTGAGTCAAAAGGCACCTAAATTCCTCCTCTCCCCAACAACATCTGCACCTCAACAGGTTCCCCAGACAAGTTGTAGGGAACAGATGTCGCTATGCTTCTTCCCAAGTAATGGAATCTTCCACTCCTCTGCAAGGGCCGTGTTAAAGTGTAATTTTTATACCTCTATGTCATATAGAGGAGGTGACAGCAGAATATTCACACACATATGAACATGAGAGGTAGGCACAGTAGAATCTTAACCCACTCCATTGTAAGCAGCAGTAGCAGATTCCCCTCACACCTGGAGGGAAGGCAGTGGAAGAATTTTGTGTATCTCCTTCCCTCAATACGGACAGGTTACAACATTTTCCCCTGGACAATGGCAATTCTTTAATCCTAGTGGGGACTGTTGGGCAGGGAAGGGGGAAGAGGTAGATTCATGGGGCTCAAGTTTAAAAGAAATGTGTCTCTCTCATAGCTTTCTGGTGCAACTGGTTAAAAAATAAAAAAATAAAAAATAAAAAATAAATAAAACATTCTCCACACAAAAAAATTGTCAATTTATTTTCTGTGTTTCTTTTAAGTTTTCCAGACCAGTTATACTTGCTGGTCAAATTCTAGGGTGGCAATGGGGCTCATTCTACCAACACAAGCTCCCTGGCTTGGACAGGCATAGGGAAGACTTCTATAAAACCTACTTGTAACAAATTCACAAGCCATTAGAGGGAACTGAAACACAAATGCTAACCAAAGGCCATCTTCCTCCTCCCTAGCAAATAGCAACCCCATTGCAGTATTATCAAAAGAAAGCAAAAAACACAGTTCAATGCAGCTCATATAGGCTCATCTCACTTGGATGAAATTAATTTGCAGAGTTTGTGTGAAAACATTTAAAGCTCTTTTTACTGTCCAAACCTTGTCTCCCCTATTTGAGTCCCATTTGATTTGGATGTTTTGGTGCTGGCTTATTAGCAGTCATCTAACCCTGCAAACTAATTTCCTCATCCTAGCACTGAATGCAGAAGAAACTTTCAATAGGGTGAAATGGACATAGGTACACATGGTATCAGAATTAGATTCTGATACCAGAGATCCACAACCTGAGTTTAAGCCCTATATTCAATGGTAAATCACCATTACCTCAAATTATTTGATCAGATTAAAGATACCTATTTCTCAGCAGATCTGTTAGCCTCACAACAACCAAAACAAAACAACACTATATGCAAGTCCCATTTTCAATTATGGTTAGTAGCAGAGAATTGTCGAAGTGCCTACTAGCCCTAGAAATGGACCAGGACCCTTCATTTAAAAACAGAGATCAATTAAGTTACAAACCAGTATTTACATGTAGCTATTTACTACTGGTTGCAGAAAGGCAAAATAAAAAGATTTCTTAATGTAATGCCCCAAAGGATTTCTGCACTACTGAACAACAAAATATATTATCAGGAGCCTCTTTCAATGCTCCTAATAAATAAAGTTACATCATAAGTTTCAAAATTTTCCAGTACTGGGGATATTTACTACTATTTTTCCTTTCTCACTCTTTTCTAAAAACAAGAAAAAAAATCACACACACATACTTTTGAAATATGTCAAGTTTTTACTACATAGTCTTAATAGTTTTCTCTGTACCTGGCAGGCTTTTGCTGTTATGTCAGAAGGAGTATCTTGGGAAAAAGCTGGTCTTAGAGCAGCTCCAACCTACATAAAAAGAAGAAAAAATCAGCTTAAATGAGGCTTACAAACACACACAAAATGTATAGAGCATAACAGAGCACTGGATTTGGCATCAAAACTCCATCAACAGTTATCATTGTTTTTTGTTGCCTATAGAAATTTATAATACTATGCCTTTAAAAATAACAACTTTTGTACTGCACCTTTCACCCGCTCCTCCCTACAAGGAGCATCTCCTTTTTGAACCACATTTATCTTTGTCACATACAAACATTGTGTCCTCTCATATTATTGAGAATCGTTCACATCAGAAATGCTGAATCATGAAATTGCTATTAATTATCATGGAGATATTCCCATAACAGCTACAGCTATCTGCCCTGTTACTATTTTCATTGTCTTTCTATAGATGCACTTAAAAACCATCTACCATTTGAGAGATATTACCATTGCTATTGGTATTCCTCATTTTAACTCTAATTATCTATCAAACCAATAGGATCTTTCAAAAGAGAAAATAATTTAAGTGCAACCATTGTAGATGTCCACGGTTCTTTACACATAGTTTAAACAGGTCCCTGGTAGTGGGGAGCTTACAGCCTATACTTGGTCAACTACTGCTGTTTCTAAGGTTCTGTGGCTACCAACACTACACATAAGGATTGGTGGAACCCGTAGCCTGAGATAGCTGAGCCCAGCAGTTAAGGGCAGAGTAAGCCTGAAGCTGGGAGATACTCTGAATGAAGTCAGTGTTCCAAAAGAAGTGATCCCTTGGTTGGGAAAGTTTGATACTAAAAAGTTTCAAAGGGCGTCACTGAAAGCACCTAACATGCAGTTTGAAACAGTGCTGAGGCACCGGGCTGTGGTAGTATCTCCCCATAATTTGGATACACTTCTGCAGAGCCCTGCATTCCCTCAGAGACATTGCATGGAGTCTCAACTCATGTTTCCTCAAGACAGTTTGAACCTTTTGAGATTTTCATAGCTCGATTTGCACTGAATTGACAGGAATTATGGCGAGGACCAGGGGACTTTCAGGCATTTTTTCTGGGACAGGATTGTTCATGGCAACATCCGTGAGCAAATCTCACAGGCTGAGACAATCAGGAGTCTTTCTCAGGCACAGCATGAATTGTGCAATCTATCAGGGACATTATTCAACTGAATTCTGAACATTTATAGTCACTGAGACACTTCTGTTTTGAGAAGGAAAGGCAGAGAGAACAGAATACACGCACACAAATACAGCAAAAGTCATCTCAGAGTTTGATGTGCCAGAGAACTGCTTTGACTGGTAATGTAGACTTGGAGGTTGAGAGTGAAAACAATGGTCTCAGTGGAATGGGAGAAGGTGGGCATAAAATACAGGATACATCAATATGGAGGCAGAACTTGGGCCAGAGCACAGTAGGTATTCTGAATGCTGGAGAAGGATAAGTGGACTCAAAGCTCTGGATGCACTGACAACTCAGCACTATCCTCAGGAAGAAAGGTCTCAAGGAGTACGAAAACATCCCAATCAGGAATGGAAGAAGGAGACGCAAAGACTTAAAAGAATTAATTACACTTCATTCTGGCAGGAGCTGGTGTACCACAACTGAATTTTGTTTTCTTTTTAAAGGAGCAGAGCAATGAATACCAACAATGGAGCACTTGCAAAAAGTTATGGGGAAAAGGCTAAGTAGTAAAGCATCATGAGATTCTAGATGCTCCAGAGCTGAAGAGCTGGTTGAAATCCCAATGAAACAGAACAATAGAGCAGGGAGGATAACTAAGCAGCTCAGGAGGTGTGTTATTAAATTGACCAACTGGAATCAAACCTTAGAACTCTGAGACAAGTATCGTCAGAGAGTAATTCCTTGTATTTGGGTATCAACAGGTCTCTGGTAATCTTTGTGATTGCAGTTTCACTGAAGTGAAGAAAGCAGAAGGTAGATGGAAATGGATTGAGCAAAAGTGGGGGGAGGAGGGGAGACAAATAAACCAAAATGAACAGCACTATCAGGGAGATTCTAGGTACATGAAATGAGAGGGTAGGTGAAAAGGTAGCCGGAGCCAATGGCAGGGCTCTTCAGGATAGGGGAAGCAATGTGGGAAATCAGCAAGAGATCAAAGAGGGGTTGAAGATAGGGGGCAGGTTGGTGTTGAGAGAGAGAGAGAGAGAGAGCGTGCAAGCCCAAGGGAGACCCTGAAGCAAGAGGGACTGGGTCTAAGGGACAGGAGTAGGGGTTATAGGCAGACAGAAAGACGGAGAGCTCCAAGTCAAAGACTGGAGTGAAGGAGGACAAAGTTGAAGAGGAGAGTTGATAATTCCCTGACAGATCGTGTCAATCCTGTCTTTCAAAGTTTTTGACAAGAGCCTGAGCAGAATAGAATAGAGAAGGGGTTCTCAAACTGGTGGTCGCAAGGTGGTTACATGGGGTCATGGGCTGATAGCCCCGAGCCCAGCTACGCTTGGGGGACTGTCAGCCTCCAGCCCCTGTTAAATTAAATTAAAAAACCCAGAGTTTAATTTATAGGGACCGGGGTCGCACTCAGAGGCTGTATGAAAGGGGTCACCAATACAAAAAGTTTGAGAACCAATGGACTAGAGGAAGAATGAAGGAGTGAACAGGACAGACGAGAAAGTCAAAAGTGCAGAAGAGCTGCTGAGTGAAGCACGCATGGGACTTATTTAGGGAGCACAAAGCAAAGCCAAATGTACAGTTGTTGAAACCAGCATAGTCATGAGACTTCCACTACAGTTGCTCCAGTCCCTGTTGGAGTTGTTCTGTCAGGTGGGAAGAAGCCAGCAGAGACCCCTGCCTCAACAGTTAGCCTTCTCCTGCAACAGATTTCCCAGGAATTACAGAATTAGGAAGCTGCACTGCCTCTCTACTTCTCTGACCAGATAATCCCTCCCATTCAAAGAGACAATTCTATATAAATTAGAATCGAGTGTCCTGTCACTTCTAATTCCATTCCCATTGGTTCTTCCACAGAAGGGGATGAAATGGACCAGTTAATTAAGTTTAATTATAAATTGGAGATTTTATATTCCATATTTTGTACATATCAGCAAAATATGCGTTCAAGTCAAGATTGGTAGACTCTAAGTAGGGCTCAGTTTTATACCTTATGCCAGGGGTGGCCAACCTGTGGCTCCGGAGCCACACGTGGCTCTTCAGAAGTTAATAAGCGGCTCCTTGTATAGGCACTGACTCCGGAGCTGGAGCAACAGGTGCCAACTTTCCAATGGGCCAGGGGGTGTTCACTGCTCAACCCCTGGCTCTGCCACAGGTCCTGCCCCCACTCCACTCCTTCCCGCCCCCTCCCCATAGCCTGCCATGCCCTCGCTCCTCCTCCTCCCCCCCAGAGTCTCCTGCACACCACGAAATAGCTGACCAGGAGGTGCAGGGAGGGTGGGGGAGGAGCTGATCGGCAATGTACATTGGTAAATTCTGGCTCCTTCTCGGGCTCAGGTTGGCCACACCTGCCTTATGCCATAAGATTGTGAAATCAAACACACAATAACTTCAAAAGTTAAGGTCTCCAAAACAACATGAAATCAGTCATGCAGCAAACGGTATTCTTTTAACAAAATAAAACCATAAAGACAGGAATCAGAATAATTGCATACTTTGCACATACATATCTCCCTTCATCTAAAGATCGTAAACCGCTTTATAGAAACAAAAACCGGGGAAACTGACCAACTGAAATCCTGATCCGGCAAACATTTACATATGTGCTTAAATTTTGCACTAAAGTCAATGAGACAAGATGTGTGTAAATATTTGCAGGATCAGGACCAATAGTGAAATTGACTATATAAGCAAAGTGTTATCAAATGCACAAAGTAAACAAACAGAAAAAACAGAGGAAAAATGTAATCTCTTCCAGTTACAGTAATTTTAGGGGTAACCCACTATTGTCATAACTAACTAATTCCAACCGAAAATGGTTTTTATATTGGCTGTCTCCTTTAAACTCTCACAACACTCCTGTGAAGTAGGGGCTCAATATCATTTTAAGAATGAAGAAATTGAGGCACAGGGTTTGAGGGACTTAATCAACCTCACACAACAAGTCAATGGTATCCAGGAATAATAAGCTCAGATCTCAACTTCCATTCCTGTGCTTTCACAGATTTCTGGCCTACTTTACAGAACAGGGGCACATTCATTAATCCCTGAGAAAAATAGATGTATTCGGTTCAATCTGGAATGGAATCAAAGTGCTCTTTTCAAATTTCTAATTCTGCCAGAGAAATGGCCATTACGGTTGCCAAAATATAAATGTTCACCTAATATTTGGATTTCAAGGATCAGTGGCTATTGATTTTTTGGAACTTTTGCCAGGTACTAAATTATAACAAACAAGGTAGAGGAGATGCAGAAATAATTTTGAAGGGGTAAATAAATTGGTGTCTGCAGTACATTCTCACACACACACACAAAACGTTCCTTCACAAGTCATTTAAAACTACAAACTGTTCTCAAAACTGACACTGGGATATTGACAGAAAAATATACGATTTCCTAAACATATAAAGAAGGACTCACATTAGCCTGATACTGCTCCAGTATCACATGACCGGGAAACTCTGGCTCAGGAACTGATGCAAATTTCTTGATAATATCTTCAAGTGCCTGGAGACCAGCCATCCGCAGCTGGTTGCTGTGATCAGTTGCAGCCATGAATGCCATACGGATGAGGTCGGAGAGATGGAGCACTAAAAGATCATCTGAAAATAAAAATAATAAAGCCATTAACTAAGTTAAAGATATCCAACTGATGTCCATATACAGACACTTGTAACTGGTCACAAATTTCTAACAGGAAGAGTATGTTATAATATGTAAATTTTGCCCAATCTTGAAAAAAAAATTAGTTGCATATTTTGAAAAAAATTATTTCATTGAATATACTTTTCTTTTGATTATTAATATAAATGATCACTTCAGATTTCTGAAATGCCTGTTGTGAAAAACTAAGTGTTATGAATTTGAATCAAAGTAAAAGGAAAGGTCATGAGAAAAAATTGCTCTGAATGCTAAAATACTTCATGTCTGCTTTGAGAACATTTTGCAAAAACAGATTTAATGACTTGTTCCTCATGTCCACAGAAAACCTTGAATGCAATTGCTGTTACAATCCTATGCCTACAGTGACCCCTGCTGATAAAGGAACATCTGATCAATTCTAAAACTCAGGTACTGTAGCCAGTCACTGAGTATTGCAGGTGGTAATAATATTTATTTGTCCCAAAGAAGTGGGGGCAAAACCCCATTTGCACCCAAACAGCTGGCTCCAGACCCTGGGTAAAAGAAAAATGTGTGACGACGGCAAGGGGTAGAGGAAAATAATCCAGAAATCAGTAACATTTCTGTGGGGACTTTTCTTCATTTGTTTTTCTTAACATCCTAATCTTAGTTTTTAATGCCAGATATTGTAAGTAATTATTTTAAAAAAATGAATTTCCTTAATTTATTAAAATGTGATATTGAAAAGGAGTAATAAAAATCAACAGAAAAGAAGGAAACCCTACAGATATTATTTTCAAGTCTCTAGATTTTAAAAGAGTTTGTATCTGGTTATGCGAGAATATCTGTGAAGAATATAATGTGAGGAAACAGCACACTATTTCTGAAAAATTGCTTACTTTCTCATTTTTAGCATATAATTATAAAATAAATCAATTGGAATATAAATATTGTACTTACATTTCAGAGCATAGTATATAGAGCAGTATAAACAAGTCATTGTCTGTATGCAATTTTAGTTTGTACTGACTTTGCTAGTGTATTTTATATAGCCTGTTGTAAAACTAGGCAAATATTTAGATGAGTTGATGTACTCCCTGGAAGATTTCTGCGTTCGTGTGCCCGTGGTTGAAAACCACTGTGTTAGAGTGTAAGGAGACTTATTATTGAGGTGTGGGGTCTGTCAGGGAAACTAGTCAATGTGATATGTGGTGATGAAGACATGTTAAAGGAGGATACCTTAACTGGACATTTCTTTGCTTTTAATAGTTTGCATGCATACCTTTAATAGTTTGCATGCTCCCCTTACTCAAGCTTACCTGTTCTTTAACAAAGTTTTCTCTTTGTGGGTATCTAATACCCTTAATATCTCTCTTTACAGTTAAGTTAAACAAAAACACATGCAAATCCTTTAATTACTTTTAGGGTTTCTGAGTTTGGCTGAACGGGCCATGGCCAGATCAAAGTGAGCCTTATTCGCATTCTCACACAGCATGATAATTCGACACAGGCAATCGGCAGCAAATACACGAGTGGCCCAGCGAGGAGCCACAGAAGGCTTCGATTTATCCTCTTCACCCAGAGTGGTAAACATTGTGTCATCATCCATCTCATCTTTCTTCTCCGATTCGTCATCCTTTCCTCCTCCCAAAGGCGCTGCAGTGCTCATGTCTACAACAGAGACACAAAGTTATAAAAGTTAGCAATTCCACTGTTAGTAGTAATTTTTCAAAAACAATTCACAATGTGAAGTTGTCAACTCTAACAATCCATTCAAAATTAAAATGGAGACTAACTTTTCTATAGAAATTATGGCATTTAAAAATGGAGAAGGGCACAGTAAAGGAATATTAGTAAGTAAAGATGTTTTTTCCCTTCAGCATACTTAGAGTATCCTTCATCTTTTTGACAGATAAGAAAATGACATTCATATAACCCTAGCTCTCTGAAGGTATCTATTACAAGAAATCCCCACTTCCAGGTCCTGTAGCTTAGAAATTTTAACTGTTAAATTGTCAATGCAGAGGATACGGATGTTACACATGCTTGAACTCTCATTCTCTTTTCAAGTAAAAGATAAAATGCATATTAAATGAAAACAAAATGAAAGGCCAATATTGTGAGAAAGGCAAGTGGGCAATTTATTATAGCAATACACACAAACATGTTTTGAGAACAAGCATTACAGGTACTGAAAATAATTTTTTTTTCTCCAAATTTGACTACTGTAATAGATTCCCAGTTCAGGAAATGAACAAAGCATCAGGGATCTCAACAAAAAGGCTATTAGCTAGAAACTGATATGCAAAACCTCAGTGTCCAGTTCTCAGAGTATCAAAACGATAAGGGAGTACACCAAAGCTACCACAGCAACAAGAAGAAATTTATCAGAGGGATAAACTATCTCAACTGAGTCACCCCATTCCTAAAAAATAATACACTTAGGCTGCAGAAGAATTGGGGCATTTTAGGGTGAGAAAGGCTGTGCAACCTTTGCAAAAACATGCCAGAAAATACATGTGGCTGACCTGAAAATTGGCTTTGCACATGCCAATACATCTCGAACCAAAGAGATCTCAAAATAAATTTGAAGTTACTGGCTTACTGAAGAGCAGCAGTGAGAAATGCATTTAAACATGGTTCTCTGGAAACTATTTGGCCTACTGTACAAGTGTCAAAAGAAAAAGCTGAATGCATATTTTACGGATTTTAGAATCTACTCCAGATAAAATGAAAGAGGACCTTTTAACATCAAGCCCATTAAATAAAGTGCCACGACAACAGGGATGTGGGTGTGAGGAAAATGTTAGAAGGATAACTAATTTGTAAGAAGAAATCTGATAACACCTTTGGAAGGGCTCTCATTTGAATCCATAGCTCCACATTGTACTTATATAAAATAGTGTATGGGAGCAGAGTAGAGAGACTGATTTACACTTGTTCTGCAAGGTGAAGTCAGGAATAAAATCTTCCAGGAAGGAATTTTGAGTGAACGAGTAGCTCAAAAGGAGGTTTAATCAATGTAGTAAACACCACATTAATAACTCACAACACCTCATAATCAGTAGCGTAGCTAGCGGGGTGCAGGGGAAGCAGCCGCTTCCCCTCACCCCTTTTCCCAAAAGCGGCACCTGCCGGGCGGGCACCAGGGGCAGCACTGCCGGAGGAGCCATGGGGGTGGGGGGGGCGGCAGCCGCGGCCAGAGGAGAGAGGGGGCCGACTCCTCGGCCATCACGCCCCACGCGGCCCCAACATCGCCGCAGGCGCAGCCACCTCCTGTGGCGGCTCAGGACTTGGTGGCCACGCACTCCCCACCCGGAGCCGGGATCGGCCCGTGGTGCGGGGCCGGGATCAGCCGGGGACAGGCGGCGGCGCAGGACAGAATGTGAGCGGCGAGGGTTCGGTACCTTGCACTGGGGGGTTCCCCTCCGGGCGAGGGGCTCCCCGGGGCCGGGCCCGCAGGGCAAGGGCGCAGGCCGCGCTGTCTGGATGGGGGGCCCTGGCGCGGCGCAGGAGCCTGGAGCCCCGGGCAGGGGGGACAGGACCCCGTGGGTGGGGCCGGGCGGTGCAGCCTGGCGGGGGACACCTGCAGAGCGGGCTGGGCAGGAGAGACTCTCCCAGGACTGCCAGGGGACGGGGGTATCTGCACCCCCGGGAAGCCTGCAGGAGTCCTGAGCCAGGCCCCGGGGTTAATCTGGGGGGGAAATGGGAGGAGCCAAGGGGGCGTGGCCAGAGGAGGAGTCAAGGGGGAGCGCCTTTTTTCTGTTTGCTCCCCCTACACTTAGACCCTGGCTACGCCACTGCTCATAATGAGAAGTTTTAGATGCAAGTAATACTCTTCCTTCTGTATAAACCAAAAGTACATGAAGGATCACCTTCATTTTCAGGGCATCTCCAGTAGTTGCCATTAAGAAATCAGAATTTGGCAACAAACATTAAACAGTGGTATTTGAGATAACTTCCCCCAGACTCCAAACAGGAAATAACTGTCAAGTAGTTATATTTTAATTGAACCACTACATGTGAAGACTGGATTCCTATGAACACCAAGTGTCCTGAGTATTGAAATTTTCTGTAACAATATCTAGGCACTGATTTTATAGCCAGCCTGATCTCATCTGGTTTGTCCCAATACATCTCAGGCAACAGTCATATCTGTCTGCAAATGGGACTTTATGACTGCACTTGGAACACCTCTTAAAGCCTCTGGATTGCTTCTCTGATAACCTGAACACTAAGGAAGAAAAAGAATAAAAATTTTATACAGTGAAACAGATCCTTCAGCTGATGTAAATCAGCTAAGCCCATGTATCCCAGCTGAGAATCCAACCCAGTATTATAAAATCAAAAATCAGACTAGGACCCCATGCGGTGCCAAGCTCATTCAGTCTCACAAAGTAAAACATCATTCTTAAACGTAAATAAAATAAAGAAGATTACCAATCACTAAAGGGACACAAATGAAATTTTAAAAAACAATGTTTCCTATCACAAATTGTGAAGTGATGTAGGTAAATGTAGTGTAGGGCAGAAAGAGCAAAGCTAGAGCTATCAGCAGCAAAGGAAGAAACTGAAGTTATATGGCCAAAGTAGCCATTACACTCTTTAGGAGAAGCATTTTAATAGTTCAGCATTATAAGATACAGGAATTGTTGCCAGTCAACTGCTTAAAGCAGAGTCCAAGAAAGTGGGTTACCTATTGTAATACTCACCCTTTAAGAACTACCTATGTATACAGTACCAGATTTACTTTAAAGTGCGTGTGTGTGTACATAGACTATTCAAAACTGACCATGATATTTGCCATTTTCTCTTTCTGAACAAGCTAAAATATTACAATCCAAGATCTAGGTGATAAAACTAAGCATGGATACCTATCCCACACAACACAAGGAGTCTAAATGAATGTTATCAAAAATAAATTAATTCTAAAGATATGATGCCTTAATATATGAATGTTGTCAAACACTTACCACTGGAGGCTGCTAGGACATCCTTACATAGCATTAGCCAGTGTGAAAGTTTTTCCACTGCCAGGGATGAAAGCATATGTCCCAAGGTATCATGAATATCAGAACACAGCTTTCGATCAGTCTCCCGGTCTAACATTCCAAAAAGAACCCCCTCGAGGCCAGTCTCTGTTATATTAACTCCTTGATGCCGGCAATGAATATCCCGCCGAGAACCAGCTCCTGGTGCAAAAGGGTTAATATCTGTAAAATGAGAGACTTTTCCAATAAGAAACTGAATCATATTTGTGCCTTGAAATTAGGGCAATAGCAGTACTAGAAAAGGACATTCTGCATTCACTCTTAGTTCCACAGATCACAAACACAAAGGCAGTACAACAATTTGTTGTCAATAAACTCTAACATAGTTTAATATTTTAAACTTTTTAGAAGTTAGATTCTATGAGATACTGAGCATCTCCCATGAAATGATAAACACTGTCAATTACCATTAAAGTAAACAGGAGTTGAGAAGAGCACTCAACACCTTCCAGGAAATGCTCAGCATCTAGCCGCATTGGATCCTGGAGAATCTCTTCTGAGTTAAGTCTTAATTGTGCCCCACAATACTAGAATGCACATCATTCTGTGGCAGAGTGGAAAAATCGTTTGTGTGATAATCCGTTGAAAGAAGGCAACATCAGCACCAGATTAAATTTTTACAAATTTGAAAAACATTAAGTATATAACTACCAGCAGACAATTATATACTTACTATGGACAGCTTCTGGATATTGTACTTTTTCCTGGCCATTCAAACAGGTGAGTAGGAATCATAACTCATTTGAGCAGCAGCAGCATCAGGATAAAATTATATATGTAAAAATTGGGGCAACTGGGAAATCCGACTGGCTACTAAGGATGTTGCTAACAGAACAGGTCAAAACTGAATATCCTACTCACAGTATACAGGATCATTATGCCCTGTGATGGGGTCTATCAGGTCTTTTCTGCTCCCTGCTACAGGAATTGGTGCCCTAACAGCCCCTACTTACAGAAAACCCACACAGACCAGGCTACCAACAAGACTTCATCCTCCAGAGGCCTAAAAGAGCCAGGAGGAGACACTGACCAATCAGGTGCCAGCACGTCAATTAAAAAGGCTTGCCTGTACTTCTCCGAGGTAGGGGCAGGATGTGATAGGGCCAGAGAAGTGTTATCCCAGAACCCGAGGGCCAGGTCAGGGCCTTGTCCTCAAGCACTACAATTAAGATCTTGCCTTTAAAGTTATGTTTGTTTGTTTAAAGGCTCAGAGGGACAAATTCTGAGGTTATTTTTATTCATCAGTTTTAGACTGACCCTAAGTTTATAGCACAGGCCACTTGGCTCTGAGCAGTTGGCAGTAATTTGTGGACTAAGGCAGGGAGCACCTGAAATGCCATTCTTGGCCCCGTAAGAAGCACTATGAGGCATACCCCACCCCATCCCCTCTGTGACATGCCCGTTTTCAAAACCAGAAAAAACAAGAGAGGTAAGAGAGAGGAACAATTTAGAACAACATATTTTGGGGGGGAAATTCCATTTCTAATTTCTTCTCAATATTTAAGAGGCCAGGGCTACTGTCTTTACTTTTAGCTGGAAGTATGGAAATGGCAAGAAACTCCAAAGATGGATGGGTTTTGTTTGTTTTTGTCTTCACACACACATACACACACACATACACACACACTCTCTATTAGAAAAGGACACATGCAGGTAACACTTACTGACGCCACTATTCTCTTTGTCGCCAGCATTTTTTGCTAAGCTCATGGCATATTCACACACTTCTGCTGCTTCCCTCTGAGCAAGCTGCCGCAAACATGCCACTGCAGCCCGACGGAGCAATAAATGAGAACTGCACAAGTGAACCTGCAATCAGAGACATTGTAAACCGGTAAATTGCTGTCTTTATTTAACTGAATCAAAACTGCTAGTGATTAATAACCGCCCCTTGCTCAGCTAAATCAAGTGTAGGTCACGTAAACAGTTACAAAGTAGCGTTGCACTTGCACAGAAAGTCAGAATGCAAGAAGCCATTTGGCTGTAAACGTGAATTAAAATGGATAAGTCCCTTAACTTACTGAAGGGCATGCAGCTAACTAAACCCAAACACGATCACGTCCTTTGGAAATGAACCTCTGCCTATCAGAAACACGTAAGAGAACTACCTGTACCTGCTCACTGCATTTGCACATAGATCTTGATCATCTTTCTCCTGGAGAACCAGCTTGTTGAATTTTTTTCTGAGCTTAATATAATGAGAGAAATTCTGTTCTATTCTTCTATGTTTCCATAAAGTAGCTATTCCCCCCTGCAGCATTCAAGATTCTAAAGAGTTTAATTAGAGGAAGTTTGAGTGTTCCAGGTGGGGTGTATTAGCATCCCAGCATGTTGCCCCATCTCCCAGATGGAAGCACAAGTGGGAAATTTAAAAGGCAAAATTGAGAAATCTTATTAATAAAGTTTATTATTCAAGCTTTTAAAATGTGAAACACAAATTAAGCCTCACAGACTGTAAAGGTGAAGCCAATCAGGAACTCTGGAAACTCTCTTCGCTTCTCTCCCATTTCAGCTCTCAGACAAAGACCACACTTTCACCAATGCTCAGCAATAGGCAGCTGCAATTGTTCTCAGATGTTTATCTGGAAGTCTGGGAACTTCATTTGGGTGCTGAAATGGGAGGGGACTGTGACAGAGTGCTGGGCAACAACAGCAGAGCCAGCCCTCTGGTCCTTGCAATTCTAATTAATTACGCTAGAGCTAGGGTGACCAGACAGCAAATGTGAAAAATCGGGACGGAGATGGAGGGTAATAGGAGCCTATATAAGAAAAAGACCCAAAAACATGGACTGTCCCTATAAAATTGGGACATCTGGTCACCTTATCTAGAGCAGACCTTGTTAAGAAGAGTTGTGCCTAAGTGATGGGCTGAGGAGAACTAAGAGGTTATTTGGACTATTAGGAAGATGATACAAAAGGCATAGAAACGGAGGAAGAAGAAAGAGAGAGGGAGAGCTTGCTCTCACCCCTGCTTGCCTCAGGACAGAGCTGAGGGCTCCCTAGGACTGTAGGGGTGAGGGTAAACAGCGTATAAGGGTGGAGAAAACTAATATTGTAAATAAACTGCACTGGGTGTTTTACCAGCAAAAAGGTCTCTGAGCTGTTTGTGGACCTGAGCCGAGGCAGGAGCAAGGCAGGCCTGCCACAGGGAGCTCTTTGGAAAATCTGGTCACTTACTTAGGATGGCCAAATGTAAGCTGTTGGGTGCTGAGCCCTTTGAAAATCTGGCTAAAAGTGCACAAAGAAGCACTTCTCACAACATTTACACTTGAAAATAAAGTCGATATTTCCATAGCTGGTGTAGCCATCTGGCTAAAGAAGGATAACACTGTGACTGGAAGCACAGGGAATAAAATTTGACTCTAGACCAGTTTTTCTCAACCCGTGGGTTAGGACCCAAAACTAGGTTGTCAGAATGTTTCAAAGGGTGACGTGGCAGATCCTGTGGCTCTGTCCCACTGGGCTCACTTCCCCGCTCCAGGCACTGCAACCTCTGGGGTCCCCGCGCCATTCAGGTTTGGCCCAGTCGTCATGATGACAAGAGTCCCGGTAGGCCAAATTTGAGTGAGTGGCACTGCAACCCATGAGCCAGGTGACAACTCCACTCACACAAATTTAGTCCAGTCAGGGGTGCGGGAACAAAGCTGAGCGGCACTACAACCCTGGAGGTTGCAATGCCCAGAGCGAAGAGGCAAGCCCAGCCAGCCCCACAGCACAGGAGCTGCAAGAGCCACCACTGTGGAGTTAGTGCTGGGCAGGACCAAGCCAAAACCACCTAAGGGCCTCCACCACCAGACTATTTACTGGGTCGTGACAGACCATAAGCATTTACAAATGGGTGCTGAGCCCCAAAAGGTTGAGAACCACTGCTCTAGTCCAGTTTACATCATGCTTTAACATTGGTTACAAACTGTGAATACTAGGATCCTGTATTCTTCCAGTGACAGAAATTACAATTTTCAATAAAATGGCCACCAGCAGTCATTGAATCACTCATGACAACTGTCATTAAAACCTTCTATGTTCAAATCTAAACGACAGTTTATACCACATATGTCAGTAAGTACTTCTCAACATGAGAGCTTCCAGATTTCTGTGCTAAGTAACATTTGCTTGTAATATGCTTTGAATCACCTCGAGTACAAGTAAATATTTTTCTTCCAAAAGAATTCTGCAAGCGCCCAACTTTTCTTGAGAGGAAGTAGCTATACAGGAAACTGTATGTTCTCCAAGGGAGGAGAAAAAGAGTGCTCTTTTAGAAACTCTAATCCCGAGTTACCCCGGGGACATATTTTTTAATAAGTTGAATACACATTTGCTTTCCCTCTATTAGCTTGCTAGAAGGGTGGAAATTGCTTTCCCAAATGAAAGGTCATTGGGAGAACAAAATATTTAACACTAGGCCTTTATTTAATTCATGAATGTCTGAAGGTTTCAATCTTGAAAAAAAGACTTTAAGAGATCCTCTAAGTATCATCCTGAAGTTGTTTCAATAGAACTACAACAGAGAAATTTAGGATTTACATTATTGGAAAGATTATTCCCTGCTTTTAGTTAAAAAATAAAAAGAAAGAAAAGAAAAAGAAAAGATGATGAAGTATAGAGGCAGGAAGGAATCTGAAAAGCATTATGGAAAAGATTGGTTTAAGTTTGATACATGGTGTTGGTTCCAAACAGAAGACAAAAGCTTGTCACTGTTTTCTCCTTCATTTAATGGGGTAGGATTTTCAGCCAGTCCTCTATTCAGCCACCAAGTCCACATTTTACTTGTCCAAACAGCTGTGGGAGCATGTGCAAAGCCATTTGCAGGTAGGCTTATCATGGAGGGAACAAGATTTTGAAAACAAAAGGGAGGGAAGGAAAATTAGGTGGTTGAGGGTTTATGATGGAGCAGGGAAAGGACAGCAGAATGGCATGGAAAAAGATTTCAATCAGCAACAATTACACCTTGGGTTAACTTCATTGTCTATAATATTCCCACTGGGAGTTCTAGTCAAAGGAATTGACAGAGAGAATTATTTGTCACAGGATGTGGTACATATCAGCCTGTTATTTACACTTAACAGAAGGGCCCACCTACATCAGTGCTGAGCAATACCTTTCCCTTGGAATTCTCTGCACTCGGACATATTACAGAGTATGGGTCATACGGAATAAGAGTACACCAGTTACGCAAGACAAGGGGACATGTGCTACGGGGGGGAAACTCTAAGGAAAAATTGGACAGTAGATTACACAAACAGGGAAAGTCCCAGGTTCAGTATAAATAGGCCTGGGAGTCCTTTGGTCATGATCGGCCCTTCAATAAGATCTGTGAAGAGTCTGGGATACAGGTGGCCAAGGATGGCTTAAAGGGAGGGTCTCTCTGAATGTCTGAGCAGAAGTATACTTAACTCCAATTTATTTTTTAAATTTTCATCCAATAGTTTTGTTTAGATCAAATTTTGGATTTTACAGCCCTTGCATCACTTCCTGGCTTGAGGCAGAAAAGTTGGTGCCGTGTTTATTGAGACAAGTGACAATACTCAGCTGAGCAGCAATGGAGGAACTTGGGGACAACAGCAAGACAGACTCTGCCTAGGACTCTGATAGAAGGAGCTATGCCACTTTCCCCACATACACTTCCTTTCTAAGTAGCCATAGGAGACAGGGTCCCCCAAAGGTCTCCTCTTTTTCATTCATACACTTGTTATTGTGTATTCCTCTCCTTTCCAAGATAAGCAGCCCTAGGGCCTGATTCTCATTTAAACTAAGGCCACTTTACACCACTCTGGCAGAGTAAAGGGATTTAAAGTGAGTGTAACTATAATCTAAGCCCACATTAAGGCCCCTCTACACACCCAGAGCAGTGTAAAGTGGCTTTAGTGTAAATTAGAAACAGGTCCTTAGTCTTTTTAATCTTGGATAAATTTTTCAAAAGTGCCTAAATGACTTAGGTGCCAAAGTCCCTTCATTGATTTTCAATGGGACTTCTGACTTGGGAGCCACTGAGTGCTTTTGAAAACTTTGCCCCTCAACACGTATGTATATTCCCCCATAGGTTGCTAGCCATTTCTCTTTCCTTTCTGCAGGCCTTAATGCTGAAGTTTCCAGCATTAGGGATATAGGACAGGACAGACATATTTTACACTCACACAAAGGCTGGGAACCAGACTGGATAGGTTGACATGGCGGGGTGCAAACATGTGAAGCTGTTGAAGGCAGGATATGGCAGCTGCCTGAACAAGAGAGTCCGAGTGATCTTGTGTGATCGCACATCCCACCAAGCATGAAGAGCGGATTGTTGAAATAGTAGCTCCATTACCTAACAGAATAAAGAATCCTTAAAAAAGCAACTTTTTTGTATAACTGTTATAGATTTTAACCTTTTAATCACAAAACTTCAGAGATGTGAAGTCTTTGTAAATTACATACAGCATCGCTCTTCTAAATACCTATACAGTACTTGAAGTTAACAACTGTATTACTTCAAGAGGACTCTGTATACAGGGTTAGAACTCGCTTTCCATTTTAGCCCGATTTTGATACTTACCCCCTTAAAGTTCCAAAGCAATCAGCTAGCCCCAACAGTCCTTTAAACCTCAAAATTTTACACAAGTGATCATTAGCCAGAAAAATGGTGCGGACATTGTTCAGTCAGTCAATATTTCTCAGATATGGCATTTGTTAAAATGAATTAAGTTTCAGGTTTTGGAAATCTATTTCATTTAGTAATCTTGGATAAGATTGCATGCATAGACCCATTTCTTATAATATCAGATATAAAATTTTAGAGTTATTTGCTATGGATTTAGTTTTAAACTCTGAATACTTGTCACATTTTGGAAGACTTTAATATTTTTTGCCAGTTTTGGAGCAGTTTAATATATTAATGTACTGGTGGAGTTTCTTAGCTCCCTCAGTTGCATCACTTGGATTCAACAGGTTACAGACTACACAGAATATTTGATTTAAAGACTATGTTGTCTTGCATTTCAACAAGTACCATTCATCATCTTTACAGCACAACTATAATTACAGCAAAATATTGTCTTTATAAGAAAAAATTCTGAAATCTACATTTGTATATATCAATACTTTTAAAATATCTCCTAAAAAAATCAATAAGGAAATTCCTAGGCAAAAAAGTTAAGATACAACTACAAGACTGTAGTTAATAAACATATTCAAAAGGCAGGGAATTTATAATTGAGGTTTCACTACCAGCCTCATCTATGGCACCTTATCAAAGCCCATACCATGTATATCCACCAAAATCCCCTTTGCACCTTAAAGAAAAACCACCATACTTCATTTTTATTTCCAGTTTGGACCACATACCCTCAGATACCACACTGTAAATATGGTCAAGGTATAAAGATCTGAGAATACTGAGACTGGAGTTAGATCGTTTTGGCACCAGTTCATATAGCCACCTGTTACATATATGGCAATTTCCTGCAATATCTTTGGGAGTTCTTACTATATTAAGCTTATGTATCATTGTGAGCCAGGAACTGTATGCAATTCCACAGGGAGGGTGACCACAGTTCAGTGGGGAGTGATTAGGCAAATTCACTCAGGTCTAACACCTCCAGAGAAGTAGCACCACCTGGAGAGGCTCACATATACTAGTTTAAACTGGATTCCTCAGAGACCAACAGACAAAGAAAGGAGTTTTGGAAAAATAGCCTAAGTTTAAACGATCTCAGGGCCGTCTATCTGATCTAGCTAAGAGACAGGACCTTCTCTGACCAAGGTGAGCCTGGGGATGGGGGAAATCCTTGTGAAGAGCTGGAAGGGCTGACACCTACCAGAGCCTAAGGCTGAAGTTGGGGTGACCTTTGGTAAGCTTTTTAGCATGCATATAAGGGTTTTTTTATAGCTTTTATATATTTTTTTTCTGTAATGCTTTCATCTTTATAAGCAAGCACATTTATTCTTAAGAGCTGTGCGGTAACTTGTAACTGCTGGTGATTACAATTGTTCACAGCCTTCAGAGAGAAAGCAAAGTGCAGATGCTGGACTGTTTAGGCAGTCTGGCTTGCTGGAGATATCACAGAGTGGGCAAGGAATTGTGTAGCCTTGAAAATCCCCTGTCACGAGGGAGAGAGATGAAGGTCTTTACCCAGGAGAGTTGACAGTTGAGGAGCTAGGAGCCTAGAGTGGGTGCCCTTGAGGGATCATGGAGGAGGAAATACAGGTGCAGTTGCCTTGAACTGTGTCACCATCAATACACACAGTGCAGATGCAGTTCTACAGACCCTACACACCAATCACAAATGCCTCACTATCTGCCACCATGCAATACTTTAACAGCCAGCTGACATTAAGAAAAAACAGCATCTATCCTATTTATAACCGTAACTTTATCTTAATTAAATTGCAGATTAGAATTTACCTTGCAGCTCAGGGCCAACCGTAGTTATTATAGCCCCAAGACATCGGCCCAAACACTGATGTACTTCTGTATGCGATGGTGGAACCGTCAAGAGCAGGGTAAGAACAAGAGAAAGAGTAGGCTCCACATATCCCCGGTACATTGGCCCACTAGAGTCCACTATCAAGGCAAGTGAATGGAGAGACCAGGTCTATAATAAATCAAAGAGATTTTTGATTTTGAGTCATACAAGTTTGTTTAGTTTAGAGTTTTGAGGATTTATGTATAGTGGCTATGGCTCTGACCACCCTTGTCTAAACATTTCTATTTTAACCCTCTGTTTTTAAGAATGTCTTCGTCACCCCATAATCTGGAACATTCACTTCTGGGCTGAACTTTCCCAGGTTTGGTCTTTGCCTGCAGGAGAATTTTTGTTTGTTTGAATAAAAATGGCTAAGCTGTTTGAGAATGAGAAGAAAAGGATGCATGTACTTTTTCCACTATATAAAAAAGTTTGACACATTTTTGCATAGTTCTAAAGCCAAAACTGGGGCAGAAAATTGAAATTAGACACAGAAGTAGTCCTCAAGAAGAAGTGCCTGAGCCAATGGAAACAGGTTTTCATTTGATAATGTTATGGCCAGTTGAAATTCTCAGCTTGCATATACAGTACATTTTGCACTGAGTTTTCTTTCTAAACTCTTAAAAGTGCAGCTAAGGAAGGCCATGCTGCTCACATGTAGTTAACTTAGCTGCATTGGAGAAAGGTAGTGAAGGGCACAGCCCTGGCCTCATTCACTGAACACCCTGTCAGATACACTATGGATGAAGCAGGGTGCCCTCGTCTCATTTTCTACAAAGGTTGTAGGGAACAAGTTTCAGGACTGCTAATGTTCTCAGGAAAAGGATTCCCCCTCTTGTAGGCTGCAAAGTGTGCAGGACAGTGTTCCAGTGGCATTTACCAAAATAATTTTACATTATGATTTTTCCCCCATTCGAAAAAAATGTGGGAAGTTCCATAAAAAGAAAAAGGACTATCGTAAGAGGAGGTTACAATTGCACAGTTAAACATTTAAGTTAGCTGGCCACACTGCCTTTATTCTGCTCCTACAGTCTAGTTACATGATCACATAATCTCTCTCAAATACATAACACTATTTATTCTACAATGTTAGATACTAATGTTGCATCTTGTAAAAATTTTTTTCATTCTTTTTACTGTTTCATTCTATTTATTGTAACACTGCAGTACCTTTTTACTGATTTAGAGGGAGGATTTTAAAGGTTCAAACGGCAGTGTTACATGCCTAATTCCCATTTAAAGTTAACGGGGATTAGGCACCTAACTGCCATTTGTATCTTTGAAAATCTCCCCCTTTGATTTCTTATATTTTTATACGGTAGTAAAAAATTGATTACATTTTATTTGTGAAATAATATGCAAGCCTTTGTTTAAAGACTAACACGATGCATTCACAGAACAGCAGAAATAATATTTCACATGCAACCTGAACTTTGTCAATATCTAACTTTTGAGAGCTTAACTATGGAAATTTATGAGAGTTGGTTTTATACATACATATATATTAATCACTAAACAAAGCAAATCTTGTTTTTCCAAGAGGCAAGTTATGTTTAGAAAAACTTCTCTCAATCCTGTCTCCTCAGAAAGAGGATTACCTCTACTCCATGTTCTCTAACGTTAATAATTAAAACAAGACACTGGTGGTCTGCGGTTCCATACAACTGAGGTAGCAGAGGATGGGGGTCCAAGCTTAAAGTTCTGAGCCATTAAACTGCCTCTTTCTGTGGGTGAGACACACCTTCCTGCTGATGAGGCATAATAGTCAGTAACCACTTCAACTAATAATTTACTTTGGAGTAATGGGGAAAAAGAATGAAAAAAAAATCTCCTGATATGTGGTGCAGTTACACTATAATCTTTTGAGAATAATATTTATAGGCAAGTAATTTTCTTTTATTCAAAGTTTTTATTTATATCTTTCTCCAGAGGGTCTTTTACTATTTTATTTAACTGGCTTTGTAGAATTCATTGCCAAGGGATATCATGAATGCACCTACTTTCCTTTAAGATTCTACTTTAACTTACAATACATTTGTTTTCCCAATTGTCTTATAATTGATTTTAATTCATTGTTCTATAGAATGGAATAACTTATTTACATCTTCAGATGACTCAGCATAATTAGGCACTTGCCTAAAGTAACTGTTCAAAGTCAGGTTAGTTTGTTGTTCAGCACACTGCACCATAAAGTCCCTAAAGAAACTGTATTTGGGACAAAAAGATCTCTCCCCCCCCATTTAGACTTATACTCCTTGGGACATGGCCTGACTATTTTTTTCTTTTGTGCAGCATTTTCTTTGCTGTTGACAGTAATATATTAATCTTAAACCCTACTGGATGGTTTTAAAATGCCTTTTTGTTTTATACCTGGACTTCAGGTGAGGTCCCATCTTGTGCCAACGCCAACAGAATACTGACACTGGTTTTCAGATGCTGTCCAGAACCTATTCCACCCACATAACGATGGAGACAGCCAAGAGCCAACGAATGACCAGTTCTTGACACAACATCTCGAGCAGATTTTAACCTATCAAGATTAAAGCATAAATCAAAGTGTTTGCTAGATTTGTAGTTGAGGCAAGGATTGTTCAAGTGTCAGAAAAATAACAAACCTCAGCTCCCGCCTGGATTTTTTTTTTTTGAGTTAACAAAGTAGAGACTTTCTGGGAAGATATCAATGAAAAAGACAGGAAAATATTTAAAACTTTCTCATTATTAACTCCTCATATTCAGTTGCTTGTAAAGTTATTCTGATTTTACTATAGTTCCTTTCTTCTCTTCTGGGAAGTATTTATTTCTGACATTTTAGATAAGGAATATTTTTGTAACTGACAGGACACATGATTCTCTTAAACTGTCTACTCTTCGCTTGAATGAAAATATGAAGAGACATGGTGGAGGACTGACGGGAGTGCAGCTGAACCCTCTGATATAGTGACAGCTCACTTGTTAAATCTTTTTAGATCCCACTGCTTATCACTGCTATGAGTTTTATTATGAGGGTTTATTTAAATAATCTTTTATTCAAAAGAAATAAGGGAAAGTAGCAAGACTTTGAATCACCAAATTACATAAGTAGTGACATGATAACTTTTCTGATGGATGCTTGGCAAGATATGAGCCCCCCACCTCCCCATCAACTGCAGCTATGACAACTGTAAATAATTAGGCTGTTATCTACAATTGTTCTCCAGTAGTCATGGAGAATGGATACCTGTAAAGAAGGAAGTGAAGGGTAATTTCTCTTCTTTCTGTGTGTAAGACCTTAGCACTCTAGGCAATACACAAACATATAATAATAAATAATAAAAGGCCTCCAATAGATAATACAAAATTACTTAACAATATGGACAAATTGAAAAATCCATTTGATAAAATTGATCTTGGAGGAGAAATTATGGACAAAACCATAGCAGTGCTTGGAAAATCATGGGTTCTCAAGGGAAGAAACAAAGTCTTATAAGCAATTGTATTATAAAAACAAAGTTCAAATTCTGAATACTGAAAATCTTGAAAAATGCTTAACATATGAAAATAAGTATCCTTGAGATACTTAAACTATCTAGAAGATCTCTGGAGAATAGCTGAGGATAATAAATTTTACTCCTTTAGAAAAACTCTTACCTAGGGTTACCATACGTCCAGATTTTCCCGGACATGTCCGGCTTTTTGGGCCTCAAATCCCCGTCTGGGGGGAAATCCCAAAAAGCCGAACATGTCCAGGAAAATAGGGACGTGCTGGGCCGGGGGCCGGGGGTGCTCGGCCGGGGGCTGGCCCGGGGGTGCAGGGCCGGGGGCGGCACCCCAGGAGCCGAGCCAGGCTGGGGCCGCCTGCCAGAGGGAGCCGCTCGGTTGCGGGGGCCAGACTGGGCCGTGCCTCCTCCTCCCCCCCCCCCCCTCCCGCTTACCTGCTGCCTGCTTCAGGCTTCCCGCGAATCAAATGTTTGCAGGAAGCAGGGGAGGGGGCGGAGTTGGGGTGGGGGCATGGGCGGGGCTGGGGGGCTGGGCCGGGCCGGGGCCCCGTGGAGTGTCCTCTTTTTGGACACTCAAAATATGGTAACCCTATTCTTACCTATAAACACAGAATGAGAGCATGTGTGAATCTAGGTGAAAGCAGGAAGAATCTGAACTCTCCCTTACAGTTTCTGATACTGCTTAGTTTGCCGAGATCCAGGGGTAAAACTCTAGGTAACTTTTGCCTTATTTATGATAGAAACAGAGTCTTGCCTTGAAATGACATCACTGAAGAAACAAATTATTTCACAAAAAGAATGTCCCCAGATGGTTTTTGGCCTATTTGAGTTAAGCTGATTCCTCCTTTACAAGAAAGAAAGTTTTTATACTTAGAAGTTGCAATCTCTTTTGCATTTCTGCAAACAACGACAACAAAAGACTTTTTATCTTTTTAGAGATGGACAAGTTAAAGCCATTCATAAAAGGGAAGCTGAATTTAACGTAACTGGATCACCAAAAGACCAATTTCCGTTTTAAAGGAAATACACTAAAATATAGTTCACGTACTCATCTGAGGAAAAATTGGACACACTTATCTTCCTGAATCTTTAATACAGACAGATCTTTAAAGGGCTAATTGGTGATGGGGAGTCCGATGGAGTAAGGAAGCAAGTCACTGTGGGCCAACAGAGAAGCCAACTCCTAGGTGCTAAGAAGAGGCGTTGATGACATGCGGCTACCAATATGCATTGTTCTGGGTAACCCCACACTTTACACATACTTAGAGTCAGCCATGTTTATTTTATCTGAAGCAGTTTCTTCATCCTTAAATAGATCATCAAGAACTATTCAACAATATTGTTCCGGAGTCCAAACATTTCAATTAGTTATTGTTCACTCTTGGTAACAACATATGAAACAACTCAGGATCTATAAACCTGATTAGGCCTCCCAACCCAAAGTGGTCAGGCATGAAGGAAATGTACTTAAAACTATCATTATCATATTTAGCAGAGACATTTTCTGAACATGTTTGAATTCTATTTTTATTTCCTTTCTTGAGGCAAAGTGACAACAACTTACTTGTCAAAGCTGAATTGAGCCATTCTGGCGATGAAAGTTGCTTCTCCAACTACCTGAGCCATTCTGCCAAGTGCCTCTCCTGCTGCACATCTCAAAATGGGATTAGGATTGTCAAGGGCACCCATAACCAACGTCAGAGCAGATTTGCGGACTTCTTCTGGTCCTAATGTGCTTTTATTCTCAGCTAAACCCTATATGAACAAATGAGAAAAAATATTTGACCAAAAGAAATAAAAGTATGTTTTGACATCGGTTGCTGAAATCAAGTTTAAAACAGTTTAAACTGATATTTTTACAAGAAGAGAATTCACTAATAAGACAGGCTACGTAATTTTTGAAGTGATGTCTTATACACAGCTGGACATATCTTACAACTCACACCTTGAGAAAGGTGTTTAATTTCTACTTCTCTCCCTATTTTCCAAGGGTTTTTTCTTTTAAATAAGATTAAAATAATGTTACATGTTAATACAAATAAAGAAACAAAATGAAGACTACACGTCCACTCAACTACCACCAAAACAATATTCTGCTTCTGCCCCAAAAAGCAAAGCAACTAGTTTCCTCCAAAACCAACAGCAATCGCATTGCATGGTTCTTTGCTAATTGTTTTCCATGAGCCAGTTCCAACAATACAACTTGATGGGTTGGCTCCTCTCATATATCAGACAGGCAAAGCAACAGCCAATGAGACACTGCAGTTTTCACACACTTAACTCCACCTCCTTCTATCACTCTCACTCCCCTGAGCCCCACACCAGCACATCAAGTGGAGAACTTCAGAACTGTAAGCTGAATCATTGTAAAAAACAACATAACTTCAGCATATGATAAATCAGCCCTTCATGATAGTGAAGGATAGTCTAGACATCTGCACTGTTGTCTCTAATATACATCATATGGCATGCTGCTTTCTGAAAGAGTATCTGGTGGTCTAGGTTTTAGGGACTTGTAGATATAATGTCTAAGGGAAAAGAACTCCAGAAGTAAGCCCTCTGTCACAAAATCATGCATTTGTGACCAGATTGGAGGAAATCAGAAATATTCCCTGCAACATTCAGGTAGTCAGACAGAGGAGAGTAACACTTTAATGGAGACTTTGCCCAGATGCTAGTGCTGGTTGGAGATCATGTTAGCTTGTTCCAGTCTACCAAACAAGTGATTCAGATTCAACAGTTAGCCACTGATTCATAACTATAGTCTTGCAAATAGAAAAATCTGAACACTGCCTGGAAAAACTGCTAGAGCAGTATCCCTTGAAATGAGGAAAAAAAAAAGAAAATTAAGTCTCCCCGGAGAATTTTCTTCTGGTCTAAACTGACTTACAATTGGTGGGTCCAGTTAGTCTCCAACAGTATTAAAGGGGACTAATAATAAATTTTGTCTTATCTGAAAAAGACCACATTTCCAATCAATGAACTTCTGGGGTCACTGTTAATGACCTGATGACACTGGCTTTCATCTTCATGGAGTTCTGAGCAAAATCTATTCAGTACCAGGAGATAGAGGGCGTACATGGTCAAGGGAACAACAATGGTATGATTTCCCATCCCTCTGGCAAATAGGTTACTGGATGCTGAAGAGAATGAACTGACCTGATAGGCTGGCATCAAAATCAGTACACCACAATTTAAAGTGTGTGTGGTAGGGGGAGGAAATCTCAGCAGGAGAGGGCTAAAGTCAGCAAAGCAATCTGTTACCCGCAGGGAAAAAGTTTCAGGTTTACTAGGAGTGGACTGTCTGTAAGAAGTAGAAAAATCCTTACTTTGAAGACTGTTTATCTTCCAGTCTCTGCACCTGTGAAACATGCTCCCAAGGAATCCCTCTTTGAAGTACCCTGTACTCCCACTGCTGCAGTCAACTACTTTGAAGAACTGTGAAAACAAGTGCTCTGTGAGAGCCTGGGGCAGAATGTCAGGGCTTGCAGAGTGGTCATAAGAAACTGGATGTAACATGACCACTGCATTAAGTGTATTCATGACTCTTCTCATCCTAATATTCCATGTGAAGGAGGGAAATGATCTTCTCAACAGAAAAGCAAAAATTAATGAGTTACAATTAAAAGTATTAATCTAAGGCTATGATTACATTTTGAGCTAGGGGCATGATTCTCCTGCTCACATGCACACACTTGCGCTAACTCGATGAGAATCACACCCCAGCTTGAAGTGTGAACATAACCTAAAACAGGGGTGGGCAGACTTTTTGTCCCGAGGGCCACATCGGGCTTGCAAAACTGTATGGAGGGCCGGGTAGAGAAGGCTGTGCCTCCCCAAACAGTCTGGCCCCTGCCCCCTATCCAATCCCTCCCACTTCCCACCCCCGACTGCCCCCCTCAGAACCTCCAGACCCATCCAACCCCCTCCGCTCCTTGTCCCCTGACTGCCCCCT